TTGAATTTAAAAAGAATGTAATTGAGCCATTAAAACAACAAAAAAATACAATTAACTCAAAATAACTTGTTTACCTGATATAGCAAGTTACCGATTTTAAAATTAATTTTTTAAAATAATTTTTAATAAATAAATAATTAAAATATTTTTTTAAAAAAAAAAAGAAAAAAAAAGAAGAAGAATCGTCTCCGGCCGGCTACGTCTCCATAGACGGAAACGGGCCTCCGTCTCCAGCCATGGAGACAAAGACCTTCGTCTCTATGGCTATGGAGACGAAGGGATCGTCCCTTCGTCTCCCTGGGCATGGAGATGAAAGACGTCATCTCCATGGCCGGAGACGAAGGCCAGGGAGACGAATTCGTCTCCGGCCATGGAGACAAAGCTGGGCGGATATGATTCGTCTCCGGCCACCATTGTCTCTTTTTTTTTTTATTATTTACTTTTTTTAATATTTTAATTATTTATTTATTAAAAATTATTTTAAAAAATTAATTTTAAAATTGGTAACTTACTATATCAGGTAAACAAGTCATTTTGGGCTAAATTGCATGTTTTTGTGTTGTTTAATGGCTTAATTGCATTCTTTTTTAATTCAATGGCCTAATTACACTTTGGTGTGCAGTTGAATGGCCTATTTGACCCTTATTCCTTACTTTTATATATTACTCCTCTGAGGGCACTCCAATTTTATCTTGAAATTGATGTATGACCTAATAAGACTGAAAATTCTTAAAGGTTAGAGTAAAAAAAAAAAAAAAAAAAAAAAAAAAAAAAAAAAAAAAAGATTAACTTGATAAATATCAACTCGATTAACCTGAACTCGATAAGAATGATAGTTTGAACATGTAGCTTGAAACTTTCAACTTTGTGAGCTAACTTGAGTCCAAGCTGCTCAAGACTACTATTTGTTTTACAGGCAATGTAAAACAAAATATACATGAGTGAATCTCCTATGAGACCATCTCACAGATTCTTACTATGAGACAAATCGAGTCATGATGTAAATGTAATATTTATACGGGAAGATGTAATACTAATCAGGAATAAATTGTTTGTTACTTGAAAAAGTGTAATACCTTTAAAAAATGTGTAATACTTTAGGGTATGTTTGGAAACTCAGAAAATGACTTCCGGAAATCATTTTCTGAATTTTTTACCGCCTGTTTGGTTCGCTGGAAAATATTTGAAGGGAAATGGAATTGAAATTCCATGGAAAATAAATTCCAGGAAAATGGATTCCATTGTTTAATTGGTTGGGAATATAAATTCCATTACTTGGTTGGATTTGAAATTGTAAGGAATAATGGATATAAAGACAATTATACCTCTACACAATAATAACAACAACAACAACAACAACAATAATGGTAATTAAAAAAGTTCGTGAGGGCATAATTGTCCTCCTTGTTTTCCATGGAAAACAAAACGGGGGGGGGGGGGGGGGGGGGTCAAGGAAAATGTTTTTCTTCCAACCAAAAAAAAAAAGTAAAAAAAAAATCTAGATTTCCTCAAATTCAATGAAAACATTTTTCATCAACCAAACACCTCCTTAGTGTTTGGGTAGTCAAAGGAAAATGAAGTCAAATGAAAATAATCATTCGAGTTAATACCCAAAATCGTCTTCGACTATAGTGGTTTTTCTCAATTTCGTCCTAAACGACTTTGGTGACCTAATATCGTCCCAGACTTTTGTGTTTCGCTCAATTTAGTCCTCCATTTGTTATTCCGTCAAATTGGTGTTAAATTAAGGGACAACTCAGTAATGTCAATATTGATCTCTCTTTATTTTCAACTTGTGAAGTGCGAAATTCCTCTTTCTTGTACGAATTACACCCAGAATATTCCCGGACCTGCAAATCAAATTTTATATTTGCAGTTTTATGAGTAATTCTGGGAGTAATTCGTAAAAGAAAAAGGGATTTCGCAGTTCACATGTCTATGAGTAAAGAGATGTCAATATTAAAATTAATTAATTGTGTATTTATTTAACACCAAATGGACAGAATAACAAATGAGGGACTAAATTGAGCAAAAACACAAAAGTTTGGGACTAAATTGCGCGAAACACAAAAGTCTGGGACGATATTAGGTCACCAAAGTCGTTTAGGACGAAATTGAGAAAAACCACTATAGTCGAGGACGATTTTGAGTATTAACTCATAATCATTCTGTTCAACGAAAAAAATGTCAAATTTGGCAAAAAAATGTCTTCCTTAGACAAAAGTCATTTTTTGGATTCTTTATTTTCCATCTCTCTTCTCTCTTTTCTTTTTAAATTAGTTTCCGGATTATTATTATTATTACCACCACCACAACCATTTAACCAACACAATCACCATTATCACCACCACCACACACCACACACCACACGACCACTACCACACCACGACGATGATGACACCAACACTTCCACCACTACCACACCACCACCAACACCACTACCACATAAACCACCACCACCATAACCATTACCACAGCACCACAAAAAACAACACCACTACCACCAGCACCACCCCGCCAAGACCACCACCACCAACACCACTATCACAACCATCACTACCACCAACACCAACACCACTAGTACCACACCGCCGCCGCCGCCACATCACTACCATCACCGCATAATAATAATAATAATAATAATAATAATAATAATAATAATAATAATAATAATAATAATAATAATATTATTATTATTATTATTATTATTATTATTATTATTATTATTATAAATAATATGTTCATTTTCAGGAACTATAAACCAAACTGAAATATATGTACAATTTCATAACTTTTAGCTAAACAGAAAAAGATAGTTCTCTAACATTCAGCCAAACACCATAAAATTAAAATATTTTTCGGAATATGAGTCATTTTCTGAATAGTCGTTATTTATGAGAAAAAAATATAATACTAATCATGGATAAATTGTTTAATTGTTACTTATGAGAAAAAGTGTAATACTTATGACGAAAAATATAATATTTTTTATGAAAAATGTAATACTTTTAAATCAAAATGTAATATTATGAGTTAGAGAGTTATTACTTATGATGAAAATGGTAATACTTATGTTGAAAAATATAATATTTATCAAAAATCCAACTCATCACACGGATAAAGATCTATAAGATTATCTCATAAGAGAATTTGCCAACCAATTTTGGTTATGACATGATTGGTGAAATATTTTTGTAAAATAAAAGCATAATATTTATTAAACTCTTCTATTAATTAGACTGATTCATAAATAAATAAATTTTAAAATAATTAAGCTTGATTTGTATATCCATCGATTATTTGATTAGAATTTACTTTTTAAACAATTAAATCATTGATGTTGCAAGATTATACAATGTCAAATTTCATTCCAATGTCGAATTATGTTTGTGTTGCTTGATTTGCGTATTGAATATTGGCAAATATTTACTTATTTATCAGAAAATTTGATGATTACAAAATAGGAGACACGTGTTGTAACTTGTAACCCATATTACACTTGATCAAGACTAGCTTGTCCCTTCTATGAAAAATTTCTGGTTCACCCCTGTATACAGCATGCCAAGTTTAAATATCAAAATTTTCAAGAATTCTCTTACATATATAAACCACCTTGCTCTTCCTTCATCAATAGGATGTTGACTAAGGGGTGTTTGGTAAATAGTTGTTAGCTGATTGGATTATTAGTGGGTTTGACTAATTGCTAGCATTAGCTGATTATAGAAAAGTGTTTGGTAAATTAGCTGTTATTTTTTAGTTGATTATATACAAAATAACTTTTTCAAAAAGTTGATCGAAAAAAACTATTTTGAGCAACTTTTTGAATTTTAACATTTTGTAGCAATAAGTTGTTACAAAAAGTTAATTAATCAAATACTCATATTGATTGTTTAACCAAGTTAAACAGCTAATAGTGGTCAAATAAGTCAAAATTGACAGATAGGCTATTATTTTACCAAACAGGGCCTAAATGAATTCTCAACACATGTCCAAAATATATATTAGGCTATGTTTGATAGAATTTATTTTAAAACTTATAACTTATTTAAAATACAAATAAGCTCTGAGGTCTGTTTGGTAAAACATGTAAAGTTTAAAATAATAACTTATTTTGAAATTTTATTCTAAATAGCATATCAAAATAAGATAGTAACTATTAGTTTTTTTTTTTTTTTTTTCATCTTTTAGCTTTAAGCTAGCTTATAAGCTAAGTATGCCAAATATAGTCTAATAATAATAATAATAATAATAATAATAATAATAATAATGACTCTTTGTGCTTCAGTAGATTGAGAAAGTAATTATGAAAAGATACTATATTGTAACAAAGTCAGTACTCAGTAGTATTAACAAAATAATAATGGACTAGTGGCAATAGTGTTACACTAGCTTCAAATAAATGTATAAACGTATTGATATATATAAAACACTAACTCAATCAAATTGATTTTTTTTTTTTTTGATGTACAATCAAATTGATTTAGTTTATCATAAATTATTAGTAAAATTAAAAGTCCACACTCAAATAATAAGAGAATTAATTTCCACTTGATTGGATTAAAGATGCGTAATAATAGCCCTTAATAAACTTTAAATTACATGCCTAACATTTTAATAAATTCATGAAAAGTGGCATAGTACAATAATCTCATTAGTCAAATCTTCTGTTCACTAATTAGGGATTAAATTATTACAGACGGGCCTATGAGGTTTAATCAAATTACAATTTAAAGGTATAATAGGAAATCAACATGAAATGAAATAACGAAAATGAAAATTTATGAGAATTATGTGTAAATTTTAAATTAAGAAGACACTCACATGTAAATAGTCTAAATTTAAAGATTTCAAGTGAAATTGTACTTTAAATCAATTAATTAAGCATGTTTTTTTGAAAGAAATAAGCTCATCACTTACAAGTATAAATATTGACCTTCACTACACTTGAATCAACAAACTAACAAAAAAGAATTGCGAATATTTACATTAACTTTATGGGTATGGCCTCCAATTTCCAAGTCCCAACCATCATCTTTCTTTTCCTCAATATCATATTCTTTGCATTTGTTGACTGTCAACGCACAACAGCCCCAACTCGTAGCACGAGTGGTGGAGGCTCACCCCTCGTCCCACCTCCGGGCAGTGGTCGATCCCCCGTCACACCTCCAGGTAGCGGCCGACAACCCGTGCCACCTCCGGGTAGCGGTCGACCACCCGTCCCACCTCCCAATACTCGCCAACCCCCAATCTCACCTCCTGGTAGTGGCCGACCCCCCGTCCCACCTCCAGGCAGTGGTCGATCTCCCGTCCCACCTCCCAGTACCAGCCGACCACCCGTCCCACCTCCCAATACTCGCCAACCCCCAATTCCACCTCCTAGTACTGGTCAACCCCCTGTCCCACCTCCGGGTAGCGGTCGACCACCCGTCTCACCTCCCAATACTCGCCAACCCCCAATCCCACCTCCTGGTACTGACCAACCCCCGTACCACCTCCAGACAGTGGTCGATCCCCCGTACCACCTCCAGGTAGCAGCCGACCACCCATCCCAACTCCGGGTAGCAATCGACCACCCGTCCCACCTCCCAATATTCGCCAACCCCCAACCCCACCTCCTAGTATTGGTCGACCCCCCGTCCCAGCTCCAGGCAGTGGTCGATCCCCCGTCCCACCTCCAAGTAGCGGCCGACCACCCCTCCCACCTCCAGGTAACGGTCGACCACCTGTCCCACCTCCCAATACTCGCATACCCCCAATCCCACCTCCTGGTACTAGCCGACCCCCTGTCCCACCTCCTGGTAATAGTCAACCCCTTATCTCACCACCAAGAAGTGGCAAACCTCCAATCCCACCTCCTGGTAATGGTCGACCACCCGTTCCACCTCCAGGTACTGGTCAACCCTCAGTCTCACCTCCAAGCAATGGCCAACCCCTAGTCCCACTTTCGAGTAATAGCCGACCCCCTATCCCACCTCCAAGAAATAGCCGACCTCCGATACCACCTCCAAGCAATGGTCAACCTCCGGTCCCATCTCCAGGCAATGGTCAACCGCCAATCCCACCTCCAGGCAGTGGTCGACCGCCAGTCCCACCTCCGGGAAGTGGTAGACCTCCTATTCCACCTCCGAGCAATGGCCAACCTCCGGTCCCACCGCCAGGTAGTGTCCAACCACCCATCCCACCTCCCAGTAGTGGCCAACCTCCAGTCTCACCTCTAGGCAATGGCAAACCCCCAGTCCCACCTCCCGGCAGTGGTCAACCCCCCGTCCCACCTCCCGGTAGTGGTCAACCCCCCGTTCCACCTCCCGGCAGTGGTCAACCCCCCGTTCCACCTCCAAGCAATGACCAACCTCCTGTCCCACCTCCAGGTCGTGGCCAACCTCCCGTCCCACCTCCAAGCCGTGGCCAACCTCCTGTCCCACCTCCTAACAGTGACGGTGGCAATCAACCTGTTACCCCACCTCCATCTCCACCTCCATCTCCACCTCCACCTCCACCGCCACCGCCACCACCTCCTCCTCCACCGCCACCACCTTCCCCTGTTGTTGATACATGCCCAAAAAGAAAAATAGAGTTGACTATATGTGAAATTATATTAAAAAATATAGATTCTATCTTACCAAGATTTCGCTCAACTTTCGCAAAGCCTTGCTGCCGACGCCTTGAGGGACTTACTAATCTCCAAGTTGGTGTTTGTCTTTGCAAACTCCAAGTTCGCACCAACATCAATGTTTCCATAAGTATTCTTTCCGATGCATGTGGACAAAAGCCTCCAAATGGTTTCAAGTGCTAAAGATGTACCTAGCATGCTTTAGTGTGTTACATTCATGTATGGAATGATATAGTCTATATAAAAATATATGAATAATTGAGTTTAGCGATCCATATGATCATCTAAACTGTACTCCTTTCGTGATTACGTGTGTTGTCATCATAATATATAATTATATATATAAATAGAAAAATTTGTCAAGATATTTGGTAAAGTATGATGTGTGTTTATACGATGATTTTAATTATTCTCTGGCCAAGTTTCTTTTAATGATTTGTCTGTAGAACAACACCCATAATGTTTGGTTTCATGCTTGAATGTCTTGATGCCACATGCAAATAAAATCTTATTATGAGGAATTCAAATTTTATATGCTAGAGGCAATTTGAAATTTGAGACAATCATAATCATAATACTTATTACAAAAATTTTAATACAAATTTAAAATAAATAAATTATTATTTATAATAAATATTGTAATATTTATATGTGAAATTATAATACTATTTAGAGTAGAATTATTGTTACTAATGATAAATATTGTAATATTTATAACTGAAATTGTAATACTTACACTGTGTAATTATATTGTAAATATTGTAATACTTATATGTGAAATGTTACTTACGAAAGAAATTATTATACTTATTGTAGAAAATTTGATGCCAATTTGAATTAAAAATAAATCATTACTCATGATAGATATTGCAATACTTATATATGAAATTGTGATATTATTTAAGGTAAAATTGATTGTTACTAATGATAAATATTGTAATATTTATAACTGAAATTGTGATACTCACACACCAATTGTCTACAACCCGACCCATCTCACAGATCAGAATCCATAAGACGGTCTCATGATAGAAGTTTTTACCTCATAAGTTAGCACATACATATCCAAAAGCTAAAACAAATAATACTGCTATTAAATTCATACAAATTTTTGTATTAACGTATTTATATTGTATAATTCTCAATAAATTAAAAGCTCCCGGCATTTTCCTTTTTCTTTTTTTTTTTTTTCTTTCTCCTGCAAAAAATCATCAGGAAAAGAGATAATTTTTTTTTCTCTACACGCCGTCTTGGGGATCACACGGGGATCACACGAGGTATAAGCAATCAGTGAAATAAGGGAACAAATCAGAATAATTTATTTACTTCATAGTTGGTAGATTTATTTTTAAAAAGATATTATTTTCTTTCCTTTTGAACTTTCCTTAAGTATGTAATCTTTATTATACAAGTAAAATACTTCTGATGGAGAAATAAAACACAAGTACTATTTTATCTCTAGATCAATGAATGTGTTAGTCCACACCTTGACTAGGGCAGCAGATTATCAGTCTAATTCTATCATTTGGCATAGTACTTTACCTACTTGTATTCAACACTTTCTCCTTCTTCTTAGGTAATTTATATCATGCACCACGGCGCACATAGCAATGTGCACCCAGGTACAAACCGTGCGCGTTTCAGACTGACATCACTCTGTCCATCCAAACAGACCAAACCTTATTATGTGTATTCAGTTAAAATTTTATGTGTATTGTGTTATGAGTTTATGCGTATTCAGTTAAGAATTTATGTGTATTATGTTAACCAAACCCATTGTGTATTCAGTTAAAAGTTTATGTGTATTGTGTTATGAGTTTATGTGTATTACGTATTATGTTAGATTATGTGTATTCTATTATGAGTTCATGTGCATTCGAAACAGAGGATTTTTTTTTTTTAACAACTTAACAAAACAACGTCGTTTTGGGAGGCGCCGGACACACAGTGCTATGTGCGCCTTGGTGCACGGTATAACAATTGCTCTTCTTAATATACGAGTAGTGTTATTTTCACCCAAAAAAAAAAAACACACACAAGTACTAGAGTTTTAAACAAAACCATGGAGCCAGGACACTCCAAAATCTCCTTTACACTCATTACATCCTCTCTCAGTTTCCTACTCTACAGCCTGCACACAACCATCCATTCACCATTGACGACCCTGCTTCAACCTCGTCTCCCACTTCTCACCCGTTGACAAGAGCATTTTGCAAAGAACACAACAGCATGAGTAAGATATAGTAATGTCCAAGGGAAAGTGTTTTAAATAAATAAATGTGGACATAACTAGAGAACTTATATTATGATTATACCTTTTTCATCTTTTATATACTTATATGTTGATTGGGACATTGTATATATTTGGACTGATTGCATTCCCAGGATGAAAACAGCACAACGATACACGTGAGGGTACGGTTCATAAAGTAGTATCAGAATCAGTGGGAGTTTGGAGAGTTGCCAAACAGCATCCCCAAATCTATGCACCTGAAACAGAAAAAGAAGAAGAATATTACTAAGAGAATTCTTATCTTACTAGTACTTATAGCTTTAAGCAGATCAACCATCAAATTACCTAAACACAAAAACATCCCAAAGTTAATTCTGGAGAAATGTGGGTATCTACGTGGCTGTGTGACCGTGGATTCTGAAGTTCCTTATAGATGGAAGAATTGGATACTTTCTCTGTTCCCACCTGCAGCTACTGAATTAGCTAGTTTGTAGCACAAACTTTACTCTTGAAAAACACTGCCAATATGAAGATTCCTACTGCAAATGACTACACGTTTAAATTTCAACAGTCGTTTAGGCTTTCCTTAAGTGCCAGAATTGGAGGAAAGGTTTTGAAATATTGGAATGAAAGAGAGATAGCTGCATATGTACCTCTTGGACTTCAACAATGATAGCACTTAGCCTCCGCTAGGTTGTTCATTGTTGTTCTCAATGACTGAACTTCAATAAGGTACCCATTCAACATTCTAACCTAGGATCCATCTCTACTACCAAGACTGTTTTCCCGCATTGCCTTAAACAACTTCATAAGTGGATCTGGTTTTGACAAAGATAAAATCTCATTGTGAAGAGCTTGAAACATGAAAGCAGACTTGTCTTGAATCAACTTCAAGTGTTCAAGAGCCAATGAAGTCTCTCCAGCATCACTTAAAAATCTCAGTACTGTGAGATGGGAGTCCAGAAATGCAATATCATCAATGTGACTATGAAGTAACTTCAAAGCATGAAGCACATTACCTGCAAATATCAGATAAAACTCTTAACCAGGATAGTAGGCAAATAGGTGGCTATTAAGTAATCATTTTGTCAAGAAAAATATAGAGTTAGAGTTAATACCCAATTTAGTTTTCGACTATAGTGGTTATTCTTGATTTAGTCTTAAAAGTCTTTTAGTGCTTAATTGGGTCCTGGATTTCGATGGTTTTACCTAATTGAGTCCCCAGCTGTTAAAATCAAAGACTAAATTAAATAAAAACCACTATAGTCAAGAACTAAATTGGGTAAAATCACTATAATCGAGGACAAAATTAGGTATTAATAGAGGAGAAATTACCAAGTTATCCTAACAGAGGGCTCAATTAAGTAAAATCATCTAAGTTTAGGACCCAATTAAGCACAAAAAGACTTTTAGAACTAAATCGAGAAAAACCACTCGACTACTAAATTGGGTATTAACTCATAGAGTTATGTATGGTAACATGTTGAAAGTCATACCTTCCCTACAAAGATAGAGGACAAATGAACCCAAAATATTCCGAGAAAGGGCAGTACTTTGAGCAACAGACATATCAAAGACATGAAGAGCCAGGGCAATATCTTTGGCTTGACAAATTCCTTTAAGAAGGGATTTGTAAGTTGTTGCATCAGGTGCTACCCTTTTCTCAGACATGTGTTCAAACAGCCTGTAAGCCTCTTCAACTTCACCAACTTCTGAACATTTCTGTATTAGGATGTTGTAGGACTTTAAATTGGCAGGGCAGCCATTTGTAAACATCTCATCCCACAGCCGTTTTGCTGGCCGCAGTAGATCTTCTCTGCAGCAAGCTTCTAGAAGAGAATTGTAAGATGATATGTCCAGACCTAAACCTTTTCTTTTCATCTCACCAAGAATCTCATAAGCCTCTTTTACTTTACCGGCCTCACACAAAAGTGTAAGCATCAAACTATAACTCCGTTTATCTGTGAAATATGCTCTGGCAAATAACTTCTGAGAAACTTCAACCAACATTTCAACTTTACCAAGCTTGCAAAGGTTCCTGCCCAAGTTCTTCAATGTAAGAAGTGTAGGAATCACTTCTCTGTCAAGCATGAAATCGAAGAATAACATGGAGCAACAAGGGTCAAGAGCTGAAACAGATCCTACCAGAGCATTGAGTAGATCATTGTCCATTGGGAAATCCCCTTTCATGATTACTTCACCCAACTCTTTTGCTTCAGATATTAGTCTTTCTGAAATCAAGGTAAGAATAAAGTCTTTATAATCATTGGATCTTGGTGCCACCCCCAGCTTCCGTTTTCTCTTCAAAACCCACTCTACATCAACCGCATTACCCATTTCTCGCAATGCTTCAGCAACAATCCTATACGCCATGAAATCGGGTTTACAATCTCTTTTCCTCAACTCATCCAAAGCCACAACAGCCTCTGAGACGAAAGACCCAGAACACAACCCATGAGCAACTAAAACTGCAATAACAGACCCGTTAATTCCAGAAAAACCAATCCTCCGAACCTCGTCTAGCAAATTCAAAGTCATTTCTAATCCATTACAGCGACAAAATTTCCACACAAACACACCAAACCCAAGCGTGTTTAACCGAACGCCTTTAAGAGTCATTTCATCGAACACGTTCCGGGCACGAAAAAGATCTCCTTCAGAAGAGGTAGCAGCAAGAAGCGAATTACAAGTTTGAGGTCCAATGTCGGATATTAGTAAACCAACCTCTTTGAAAGTAGAAAACGCGGTCCGGGTGTTCTTACTAGTGATCTGAGAGGCAATGACAGCGCGATAAACATACGGCGGAAGGTTGACCTTCTGGGATTTGCTCTGTTTCAAAACCCTATCCACAGCGTTGAATTTGCGAGAAAGGGAAAGAGCCTTGAGAATTGACTGATAGGAAGAGGAATCGTGAGAAAATCCTGGTTGTTGAGAAGACCAATCAAAGAAACCCAAAGCTAGGGAGTGGTGATGGAGGAGATGCGGGTCGATTACATGGGCGACCTGTGTTGGGCTTAGTGACTCCCGGCATCCAAGACGGTGCAAAGCTTGCTCCATCAATGGCGTCCATGTTTGAGTTGGAACAGTTTGTTTGGACTTTGATATCAAAGCATGGCTTATGACTTTTGCCAACTCTCCGGCCGATCCGCTGATCATATCGTAATTGGTTCTGTCCAAGGAAGTGAAAGAAATGAGCCCACCTATTTATACTACTTAACATTTTTTTATTTTTTTGAGGACTCGTTAAAGAACCCCGACTAAATCCCATGAACCATCGAGCTAAATCTTAATAGATGACTTAAATACCTAATAGAGTATTGTAAGGAGTAGAGTGGCCTTCCTGTCACAATCCTCTAGTTAGCAGGTTGAGGTCTCGATAAATCACTCTACTAACTTAGAACGGTCATGCACTACCACATGCTCGTTGAATACATAAGTGTAGTGTCCATGCAACCCAAAACATCTAAGGGCATCACAAATCTGTTATTGCTTCAAACTTCCACGGCTTGAAACCTTGGGCACGAATCAAAGCAGAGCAGCCGTCGCCCGTCGGTGCAGATCTTGCTGGTAGTAGCAAATATTCAAATGAGAACTCTAAGGAGCAAAAGAACAGGCGCACGATTATTAGCTCGAGGCGACAATTGCAGTCGTAAAAATGCTTGAAAAATTACAAATTGGAGCTCGAGGCGTAAATCAATCAAATTCAATGAAATTTAAGGACCTATCCAAGATGTAAGTATATCTCAAACATTTTTTTTTATTAAATTTGTTTAATTCAAATCCTGGAAAGAACTAAATTTTATCAAATTGATAATAAAGACTAACAAAAATGTCAATATAATCAAACCAAAATGATATTAATTCTAAATAAATACATCTATATAATAACTATATTATATTTCTATCTATTGTTATAGACATTGAATTGGTTGACACAACTCAGGTCGATTATATTGACATCTTTAAATATTTGTCGAAAATGAAAAATTTGTAAACTTGAAAAGGTTTTCTGTCAGTATTCTTTTGTTCTGGTACTCCACAGAAATTGGGAAATAAGGAAACGGAAGAACAAAGTATTTCCTATACACACAAGAAGTACATCATTTTCATAAAAATTACAACTTTAAGATTACAAACACAGCTAACATCCTAGATACACACACATATTATCAAAGTCTTATGAAATTAATTGTATTATTGAAATGATCTGCCCTGAAAACTAAAAGTCCACTAGGAGCTTGCTTCTAGCCAAAATCATTCAAATTACAATGCACAAAAGCTCAAAACTAAAGACTCGAAGATAAAAAATTCAGCTCTAGCTGAACACCAACAAATTAAAATCCCTGCCTTTTCAAACTCTTAGCTAGAGCTATCAATATGAGCTGGCAGAACAATTCCGGCAAAAAAAGCCCGCTCTTTAGCGGGCCTAAGTTTTGCTGGCACATACCGCCCCGTCCCACTACACCACCCCTTAGCAAATTATGTTGTGGAATTGTGTCCACCTTGCAAGATGGACACGGTTTTAAAACTGTTCATAATTATGAATATATAATTCAAAAATTATGAACATATAGGTGTGAACATAATTATGAACATAGAGTTGTGAACATAATTATGAACATATAGTTCTGTAATTATGAATATAGAGATTCAATAATTGTGAATATGAAGTTTAAAAATCATGAATATATGTTGGATCCGTGGGTAGAAAAAATAAATAATAATCAAATGTGGGACAAGCTTCAAAAGAGCTCTTGTATATAAGGGAGGAAAATCTTCATTCCAAAGCAATGTGGGACAAAAGCTCACTTTTTCCCTTCATTTTCCAACTCAAATGGATCTACTTTGAGAATCAATATCTCATTCACCCATTATCCGTTTTGAGCGTACAATATATCAATCTCTTCGTCTCACTACGAAGAACCCGAATCCACTTTGACCCGACCCAAATCGGAAGTGGACCCCACTGATAATTGTACCACAAAATAGCCACTTAACATGCCATTTTAAGCTATATATTTTTCCAACAATATATAGCTTTATAATTATGAACATATAGTTTAGTAATTATGAACATAGAACCGTATCCACCTTTTCCACAGCATAACGATTGACCCCCCTACCTTTTTTTTTTTTGTTCTTAAACAAAAATATAAACATACAAATATATATGGCAGATTGCATATATAGAAGAGTAAAAAAAATATAAACATACAAGATACTTCACATAGAAGAGTAAATGAACAATCAAATACAAAAGACAAAAAGAAAGAAAAAAAAGGTTCAGTTGATCTCAATTAAGTTTCCAGGCAATCTTTTTGACGAATTCAGTTCATCCCAATCAGTTCCAACATATTGAGGATGAAAATTGTCACCAAGTGATTCAAATCAATTTATACTAAACTTGAGTCAAAATATGCATCTGATTTTGACTATATAGATTTTGGACCCGGTGAGGTCACCATTGGCAGGTGAGATCGTGAGGCTCAATCTGGTTCGTTTATTTGTTTTTTTTTAACGCACCAGATTTAATGATTTTACAGGCCACGTGCGCTGGTTTTTATAGAGTTAAGGGCATTGCTGTCTTTTTGTTGATATCTTTATTAGGTTATATTTATTATTTAGCCGATTTTATGGGCTTGTGCAAGTATAATTATGGTCTCAAATCACATGTGAGGATCTTTAGCGTTCTATATGGCGTCTCTTTGCTTCCTTTTTCGGTCTCTGTGTTGTTTTCTTCTCCAGTAAGTTCCTTTCTCTTCTGTTCGGTGTCTGTTCGTCTGTTCTCTGTCCGGTTACTCTAGGGAAAGTGCCGACTCCGTTCCGCTCTTCCCGTGACGTCCAAGCAGTCTTAATGGCGGGTTCAACCAATAGGCGATCCAAGCGTCAGAAGGCTGGGTCTTCAGGTTCTATCCCAGGTATTCCATTCGTCGCCTTGGTTTGTTTGGCTTGCTTCGTTTTTTTGTTGTTTTGTACTGATTTTGCGTTTTTACGGTGAGGAGAGCAATGCGTTCGGGGTTCTTTGGTGCTTTAGTTTCCGGCTTGGGGGTTGGGGGTTACACACGGTATTAGGGTTTTTTCTTTCGCCGTTTTTTCGCGGGCTCTCCCCAATAGTGCATTGTTGGTTTTTTTTTTTTTTTTTGGAAGGGTGTTTTCCGGGCTGGGGAAGCTTTGCATGGCTGTTTTTTGGTGGGTTTTGCGGTGGGATGGGGGTCTAGCTGGTGGTGATTGGCGGTGGGGTGGGTAGGGTTCCTGCTGAAATCTGTTGTGTTTCTCTTCTCTTTTTTTTTTTTGTATTTTTTTTATTCTTTCCGGCGTTGGGGGTAATGCGGGGGGGGGGGGGGTTTCCTTTTCTCATGCGTTTGTAGTTTTCGGCTTCATTGTTTCTGGCCTGTCACGTGTTTGTGTAGATTGGGGAGATGGTGGTGGATTATTACTCTTTTGCATTTCACTGTTATGGTGTGTACGATTCAATCTACTGGGTGATTTTGTATCTTTTGTGTCATCCATATAAATTGTCACAAAAGTATAAGTGCACCTTGCCTTTGAGATTCTTCATGTAGGCTTTTCTGGGTTATTTTTTAGATGTCATCTTTTTTTTTCCCTATATATATATATTTTTTGAAATGTTATTGTTGGTAGAATAGACAATTCATAGTCTATGCAATAGTTCATCTTAGTTTGTTATTTGGTAATTGGTGTGTGCAGTGCAATGTTATCGCAGGTGCGAATTTCCTAAATGGTGCTTTTGTTTCATCTTATATCTTTTTTTGACCGAAAAAGTGATCTTGTTTGGTTGTCTTCTTTGTAGAGGACAGTTCGAAGGTGTTTGTAGCCCCTGGTGCAGGCTTGCCTACTGGTCAAGTAGTTCCACCAATTCCTCCCGTCGCATTGACTACTCATGCTCAAGTAGAGCCGCCTTTGGATGGTGTACAAGATGAGTCTGGTAGGAATGATGTGGTTGTATTCCCAACGCTGAACACTCGTGCATCTCCAAAGCATTTAGTTTCACAACTTAAGCGCTTTAATGCATGCCAACGAAAAGCCGTGAATCAAATTGGGTTAGGGGAATTGTTGAATCTTCAGGTTGATGATTTCCCTAAGCGTTTGAGTAGATGGCTGCTGACTATTTTTGATCCCTTGAACATGTGCATGCGTTTGGAAAATGGGGCGGTAATCCCAGTCACAGAGAAGGATGTTCATGCCACTTTGGGGTTGCCTTGCGGAGATGTGGTTATTACTAAAAGACTTAAAGACGATGTGAGTGACACATTGAAAGAATGGCGGGCCAAGTTCGAGATGTCAAAGCACACGGTCACATTGTCTATGATTGGAACCATGTTGCGTTCTCCCCGTTGTTTGGAGGGTGATGTTTGGTTTAAACGTCACTTTGCCGTTCTGGCCATTAGTATTTTGGGGTCCCCTATGAAAAATGGATATGCCAACCAACTTGTTTTTCACCATTTTGAGGATGTGGATGAGATAAGAAATTTGAACTGGTGTAAGTTTGTGCTAGAGTGTTTGGTCGAAAGGCACGCCAAGTGGATCACTGACCCGTCTAAGCCATTTGTGGGGCCTATGCTGCTGTTGTTGGTATGATCTTTGATTCAGTACTTATTTGCTTTAGATGTTCGTTTGATTTGTTTAGTGTGTGCAAGTTACTTATGTTGTCATGGTTTAGTTCCTTTATGTTGACAGGGTTGTGCAGTCAGATAGGGTTGTTCCTCGGGCTTTTCCTTCGTTCAGAGGTTGGACTACGAGTTTTCTTAAGGCCCGTGAGGTAGCTGAGCTTAAACTTGGGAGGTTTGGTGTAGGGGATGTAGTCGGGCCTTTTGTTCCTTATGTTATCCGCAATAATCCATCTACTTCTGTTCGTGCCAACCTTGAGGTATTTATTACTTAAGCCCTTAAGCCCTTGTACACTGGTTTGTTCATTCCATTTTTTGAGTAATGGTCGATTATTTGTGGCTCGCTAACTGTCTTTATATTCATTTTTGGTGTTTGGTCTTTTTTTTTTTTTTTAGGCTCCAGATGCTCATAGTGATTCTATGGCTGCTGGTGGGTCGGGTGTTGTTAAGGTAATACACACTATCTTGTTTCATTGTTTTATTTGCGTTTGCATATTAGGGCCGCGCATCAACTTACATACATTTTATAATGGTCATCGTGTGAATTGGTGCATGGGTGATTTATGGCATGTGCAAGTTAGTTAGGTGGTAATTTCTTTTTTTTTTC